GGGGGGGGGGGGGGGGGGGGGGGGGGGGGGGGGGGGGGGGGGGGCCATGGCCCCCCCTACTGTGAAGACCCGTCGGAAAATTGTGAATGTTGTCGGAAATTTTTGGAAAATTGACAACGTTGTCGGAAATTGGCCAAATTTCCGACGTTGGTAAATTCGGAAATTTTTTGATAAATTGAGAAAATGGGGGGGGGGGGAAGTACAGCCCTTGCCCCCCTCCAAAAAAAACAAACAAACAAGCGTCCCACGGCGCCACTGACCTTGTGGCAAATCATGTCAGCCATAATATGTCACGTGGAGTGACTTTATATCTGATAAAACACAAATGTAGCATTATATAATTGTTCATCCTAATTAGCATGATAATATAATGGTTCATCCTAATTAGTATTCTCTTGTAGTCGTATTTTAAGCTATTCAAAACACTCGTGTTTTAAATAGTACATAAATTTCCGCTCGATAATTTCCATCTACATCCAATACCCATCGAAAACAAAATTGTCGTTTGTGATTGTCTTGCGTTGTCGTGCAAAGCAATATTGACATATGTCTTTAACACTCATAAAAGATAATTATGTCTTTAAAACTGATAAAAAACATATATGCCTTTAACACTGATAAGACCATAGATATCTTATATACACTAGATAGCGCATCTCTTTTAGTAAAATTGAAGCCAAGAATATTCCAGTGGTTACCCCCATTTGAATAGATGGCGGCCATGTTGGTCGTTCCCACTTGCTAATAAACACTTAAAAACAACAATAACTTTCGTCTTTTGAATAGTTTAAAAACGTATTTGGAATAGGGTTAACTTGATGTTTATGTTCCCTGTTTAAGAAATAGAAAATATACGAATCTTCTCATTTCATGGGAACGACCTGAGACTGCAATCACGGCTTCAATTTTTGAATTGCAGAATAATTAGATGCACTATCTAGTGTATATAAGATATCTATGGATAAGACTGATAAGATAAAGACATATGTCTTTAATAAAGTGCTTATGAAACGAAATTTTCGCCTTATTTTTTATTGTTTTGCTAAAAAGTACTGCTAGAGCGATGAAGAAAGACGTTTACACTTTCTTCATATCTCATCTCATTCTCAAGTTATCGCACTTTCTAAATTTCGAGTTGTGACGTCATTAGCTTGACTTGAGATAATGGCAATAACAGGAAAGTCTGATATCTTAGTGGGTGCATCCATATGAATATTTTTGGCAGGTCATGTGGTTGTCATGGCAACACACTAGTCCCCAGTCTCTTCTCTTCTTATTCACAAATTTCCTCCGATAAACCTCTTGCAGATGATGTTTGCATGTTTTAACGGTTTAAACTGATCACAATACCGACACGCATGATAGTAATAAGCGACAATGGCAGAAATTACTATTTATTTCGTTGGAAATGGATCATATAGAAATTGGAAGGGAAGGGACTGGGTGGGAACGAGTGTGTTGCCATAACAACCATATAAACAAGCCAAATTGTTCACTTCGGTGCACCCACTAAGTGTGCCAACTGCCAAGTTTCATTGAATTTTATTAAATGATCATCGAGATATCAGATTTTCTTGTTATTGCCACTATTTTGACTCAAACTAATGACGTCACAACTCAAAATATAGAAAGTGCCATAACTTGGGAATGAGATACGAACAAACTGTAAACGTCATTCTTCATCATTTAAGCAGTTCCTTTTAATAAGACAATAAAAAATGAGGCAAAAAATTCGTTTCATAAGCACTTTAATAGGCTGTTGCTATACATCGAAATATCGATATTTATCGATATTTTTGTAATATCGATATCATGCACGATAATTATTTGACTTTTCGATATATCGAAATATCAAAAATAATATCGCGAATTTTTGTACAAAATTGCATCGAAAATTTCTGTATAAAATGTAGATCTCAAAAAAAAAGAAAATTAATGGTATCATACAATCATGATTCGGGATAACAACATCCAAAGACAGTAATTTTTATATTATTATTCTCTTATGTAGAGGAGTTTTTCCTTGCATCGTGCTGGGACGTTTAATAGCAGTAGACGGAAACAAGCTTACTTGGTGAGAAGTTACATTCTAACGTTTGTATAATATATACAGTAAATACTGCATATACATGCAGTAGAACAACATAAATATTTATTCCCCCCCCCCCCAACTGAAGTGTGCCCTCTAAAAAGAAAATCCCGACTTCCAAATCATCATCCCTTTCAGCAAGTTTCTTGTAACAATGATATTCTGAAATTTTCATTTTTCCCAAGAACTGTTATAACCTGGAACAATCTCCCTTTCAACCCAACTGCCTGCGAATATCAACGTTTTTAAAAGTGCTGCATTTATAACTGCATTAAGAGCATGCATCAGTATAATTCTGGCATGACTTTTGTACCTTAAAAGTTGTTCATATATTACTTCATAGTTATTCTGTTAATGTATATACATATATAAGTATCTTCTATAGTATAGTGTAAGCTGGTTTAGGAGTAACAGATATTCAGATTAAAGATAAAGAACAGTCCCCGGACGAACGGAGAATCATCTATACTCATATTCCTAAACGTCAGAATCACAGAATCCTACTCTAGAGTCTAGACTTTCCGGATGATGAGAACTACTACTAGCAGATTCATATTAGATACGCAACCTCTATCTTCCTGGTTTCTGGAGATGGTCATTTTTACCATTACTTCCGTTTGAGTAATCTGTTGCTATTTTGTGTAAATTGCTCTGTTTTACTGTCAGTAGCGGTTACCAAATAGCAAACTTAAGCAAGGCGTAAAAAACAGCCTTAAATTTTACCCTTTTAAAATTATAAACGCGACTACTGTTATTAAGAACCTCAAAAGGCCGGATGAAAATGCAACGAGGACGGCTAATAACATCACATTAATACAAGAAAATGAGCAGAAATGAACAATTAAAATCCCACGGAAGTTTTAGACGTCGCCGTCGCTCTGTTTACAACCGGCAAAATACAGATTATCACGTTTTCTTTGAACGGAGCGAGATGAAAAAGGAGCGCTTGGCGGCCTCGTGTCAACACAAACGCCGTTACTTTTTTGTACCGCTTGCAAACCTAGTATCTCAGATCCCAAACCAAGCATCTCAGATCCCATTTATATTTTATAATATAATATATAATATAACTCTATATATTTTTATCGAAACATTTTTAACACGTAGTGATAGTTTTTGGATCAGTCCATTTGTTTCGCCAATTGAACCTTTGTTAATAACTCTCCTTTTTTAATATAACTATCTCTATTGAAACTTTTATAATATCTAATGTAGATAGTTCAGTAATTAATGTATATTTTATATATATATGTAATGTGCGTTCTAATTTAGTTACTTACTGTAGCTATTCAATGTGTAATCTTTCTATAATAATACTGATAATAATAGTAAATTCGAATGCTTTTCGTTGAAATCTCTTTGCTCTATTTGAAATATTTTTCACCACTTTCGGCCCAAATGTGGTACATTTTCCCGTGCGTAATACAAATTAATACAAAATTTGCAAATTTCGTAGGGCTACATTTTCCAACACATTTCTATATTTTCGTAGGGCCAATTTTACAACATTTCGCAACCAAACTTTGCAATTTTACTAATATTAACATGCTCTTTCTAGCTGTGGTGATGGATTTTGTTCCTCTCGCCTAGATCAAAATTTAGTCTATATAGCTGGAATCACCCGGTACAAATCGACTGGATCTCAACATTTAATAAATATACAGTCAATACTATGCTCGCCTTACAGACCGGTCATTATTTATGGCGGGGGGTGGCACCGAAGAGAAAAGGGTTGGGTAAACAAAATTTTGAGTGAGTAAAAGGTTGGGTAAATGAAAAACAAAACAACTTAAGGGTTGGGTAATAAAAAAATATTTTCATTTCCAAAGCATGACTCACTTAAATATTGGAGACTGAAAAGCAATGTCAGCATGCAGTCATATGTAAGTGCAATATGTGAATCAATCAGAGCATTTCTATAAACTGTGATCAGAGTCACTATCTTGACCATTTTCCGATTTGTTGGGAGACAAATGGTGTCTACAAAGAAACTACATGTGCAGACAATGTGAAACTTTAGACTGCAGAAACATTCACAAGCAGTTATCAAACTCATGTCACATGCAGACGTGGTAAAGGACATGCGTGACAACTGACTGGTATCCTTTTGTAACGTTTTTGGTCAGGGGTGGGTATTTATTTTCCAATTGATACTTGAGGTTGGGTAATCAAATGTTTTGTCTTTTTAATGGTTGGGTCAGCAAAATTTTCCCCGCGAAAAACATTTCTCTTCGGTGCCACCCCCCACCATAAATAATGACCGCTCCCTTACCTGTAAACAATATAAAATTTCTCATCTTCTTTGCTTTTTTCCGTCAGGAACTCTGCGAGCAGCTCGTCAAACGATATCTGGCAAGGCGAGATTTGAACGAGATGAAGAAAGACGCTGATACGGGAATGCTACACGCGATCGAATCAAGCAAAACAGAAATAAAACAAACTTTGGAAGATATGAAACAATTTATAAAACTTCATAAGAAAAATTAAATGCTGCTTCATATAGCTAGGATAATTTGCTTATGTAGGTTCCGTAGACATTTGTACGGAATCGTATATGAATTTACCTAGTATGCAAAATTGCTATGCTGTTATTCACAGAACTTTGATAGTATAAACCAGTCTTCAATATAAACCATAGAACCATTTTGACAAATAAAATAGTGTTGAAGTTTGAGAGTCGATCACCAATATTCACCGTGATCTAGCTCAATATAAGCTCATCGACTGGCCAAAAATGACAACATAAATAAATTATAAACGCAGACAAAACACGTGAATAAAAGTCAACAGACAACTTAAACATATTATTAAGAATTCAATGATATACTGTACCATTTACACGAGATTCCAATCTCCTGTTGGTCTATATTTATGGATTCTTTCAACATTTTTAAAATTTTCAATTTCAAAACTGTTCAAATTTTCCGCCATGTTGTATTTTTGAGGTTATACTTCAAGTTATCTCATTTTTATGTCACGAACGTTTCGCAGTGATCTCATAACACAACTGGAGTATGACGCACAGCATTTTTATTTTTGCGTTATAAATATGCATACTTTGCTATGGGTAAATCAAGAAAAGGTCATGCCTTATTGGTCCAGTGTTCAATGGTTACCACAGGAGGAAACCTAAATTAAACTAACTTTATTTATACTGGATAGCTCTATCAGTTCTAAACTGTTCTTCCTAGAGGTCCTAGAGGTCCAGTAAGGATCATCTCTTATTGATCCAGTGTTACTACAGGAGGAAACCTAAACTAAACTAAACTAACTTTATTTATACTGGATAGCTTTATCAGTTCTAAACTGTTCTTCCTAGAGGACCAGTAAGGATCATGTCTTATTGATCCAGTGTTACCACAGGAGGAAACCTAAACTAAACTAACTTTATTTATACTGTATAGCTTGATCAGTTCTGAACTGTTCTCCCGCCTAGAGGTCCATAAAGGTCATCTCTTATTGATCCAGTGTTACTACAGGAGCAAACCTTAACTAAACTAACTTTATTTATACTGGATAGCTCTATCAGTTCTAAACTGTTCTTCCTAGAGGTCCAGTAAGGATCATCTCTTATTGATCCAGTATTACTACAGGAGAAAACCTAAACTAAACTAACTTTATTTATACTGGATAGCTCTATCAGTTTTAAACTGTTCTTCCTAGATGTCCAGTAAGGATCATCTCTTATTGATCCAGTGTTACTACAGGAGGAAACCGCAAACTGGGAGGACTCTCACATGATCAGACAATTGCACTTGGAGGAGTGCAACGTGCAAAGTGCAACTATTTTGATCATTGCCTTAAATGAACACGATTTCTTTGTAGGAGTATCATTAAGTGTTTCAAAACAGCGACCAAAAGTTTCAAAACACTCTAAACTTTAAGTGTTTTCAAGAGATGTCCGGTTTATTTAAATGAGAAGTGTATTCGTAGCTTGTTGACATTGGCTTTGCTGGAAAACAATCTTTTCATGAGAGTTGCATGCAAAACACCTCCCACACAAGTCCAGACAAAACCAGGGGAAACAATTCAAATACAGATAAACAGCTACCTACACTGGACCACCACCGGTTTGAGATATCTTTTTCAGGTAGTTCAGACACAAACCACGGCAGCTTATTGTAGAATACTACCTACATTGGACCACCACGTCTGAGATATCTTTTCAGGTAGTTCAGGCACAAACCACGACAGCTTATTGTAGAATACTACCTACACTGGACCAGTACGTTTGAGATATCTTTTTCAGGTAGTTCAGACACAAACCACGAAAGCTTATTGTCGAATACTATCTACACTGGACCACCACATTTGAGGTATTTTTTCAGTCGTATAGTTCATATACAAATCACGGGAGCTTAGCCTTAGCAGCGAATATTGTACTCCTGTAGAATTACACCAAATTGCCCCTGGCAGTTGCTGAGCTTTTAGTCAGTTTGTCATCCTGTTTGGTCAAGTCTTCCCATTTTAGCGTAAATATGCAAAGAAGAGGCAATATTTTATACTCCAGACAAGTAGTTGAAGGCAACATTTCAAGTGCTTTTGTAATGCTTTAAGTGCATGCCCGGTTCTCTACGTCCTGCACATTAATTATAACTTCGCCGTAATTACACCGTATGTTGTAGTGCTGAAATCATCTGTTTCCCTTACTCGCATTTCATGTGTCATAAATCAAATTAATTACCGTTTATTACCTTATCAAGCACTCCAGTTAACCGTTTAAGGTAAACAAGGGCAAAACTATCTGATTTAGTAAAACCACGGGGAAAGCCGAGAAAATTTAACACAGCAAATCGGCTATGGGCATGGAATAGTTTCTGTAAAGGCTGTTGACACTGCCAAAGTTTGTGTGATCACAGTGGGAATTTTGCATAGGTAAATTCTAAGACTAAGTTTTGAATGATTTGTTAGAAATGTTTGAGGGATCGGTGAGTCATGTGACTCACTGTTAAACCCAACGTCAACGAGTCGGGTTCCCTCAAAGCTTTCTTATACAAATCTTTCAGAACTTAGAATTTACCCATGCATGCAAAATTCCTACTCTGATCAGAAAGAAACTAGTTTGCCATAGTGTAACTATCAGTCTGCAATAAAGTCAATAAGCCGGCAAAAGAAAGCAGTCCAACTGGCGTTTCGTTTTGCCTTTAACTGAACACTGGCTCTTTTAGAAAGTTATATGTTATACATGGCATTCGTTGTTCATTATAGTGACATCAAAACACATCAAAGTGCGTCAAAAACTATGCATGGTATAGCGCATCATTTTCCAACAATCGTTTCGATGTTTTAAACTATCGCTATATTACAGTGGAATAAACTATTTCTTGTCGGTGCATGTAATATACTACATCCTAGTCTAAATTCTCCGCCTTGGACGATTTCCAAAAAGACTGCGGTAAAGACAGGAATTACGGTGAACTAAACAGATGATTAAGTTATTCACATTAAGCCACATGCACAGCTGAATTGACTGCGAAAACACTAGAAATCTTACAAACTGTGAACTTATACACGCACGAAAAAATCTCACATCGATCTTGTAGCAAGTTTACCAACAAGCTGTCAACAAGTTATGTTCGCACTGCTTGTCCCAAGTTGTCAAAAAGTATTGAACAACTTGTTAAAGAGTTGTAATTAACAACCTTGTTGAATAAACGAACTTGCTGCAAGGTTGTTCCGACATGTCCGATACAGTCATGATGTAACAATATTGTTACAACCTTGTATGGTTAACCTCGTAACATTCTTGTTATATCATGACCGTATCAGACTTGTTAGAACAACCTTGTAACAAGTCTGATAATTCCATCAAGCTTGTTGTTAACAGCTTGTAACAAGCTTGTTGAAATTGTCAGACTTGTTGCAAGGTTGTTCCAACAAATCCGATACAGTTATAATATAACAATATTGTTACAACCTTGTGCCATCAAACTTGTAACATTCTTGTTATATCATGACTGTATCAGACTTGTTAGAGCAACCTTGTAAAAAGTCTGATAATGCCATCGAGCTTGTTACAAGTTGTTATAACAACTTGTTCCAAACTTGTTACAACAACTGGGGACAAGCAGTGCGAACACAACTTGTCGACAGCTTGCGAACAGATTTGTAACAACTTGAGTGCAGACCTGTAACAACTTGTTCGTTTTCACGTGTGTATGGAGCCCTGCTCATGACAAGGGAGAACAAAACGTAAACAAACGTACTACCAGTGCGAATCTAATGAAACAATGTAAAACCCTACATGGATTGGCTGTAGGTTTCTGGCTTCAAGGACATTGTTACTTTGTGTACTGTGTGAGATCCATGAATCTATGACGTGCGAACTCGCTGAGGGTCACTTCAAATCAGGAAATGAAATCTTCAGTTAATTTGATTATGTGTTAACACGCTATTGAGGTTATGCAATCCGAATCTCAGAAAGTTATTACTGTTCTCCTTAGAAGTCCAGTAAGGATCATCTCTTATCGATCCAGTGTTAATACTACAGGAGGAAACCTAAACTAAACTAACTTTAGTTTGTACTGGATAGCTCTATCAGTTCTAAACTGTTCTTCCTAGAGGTCCAGTATAGGCCATCTCTTATTAATCCGGTGTTACAACAGAAGGAAACCTAAACTAAACTAGCTTTATTTATACTGGATAGCTCCATCTGTTCTAAACTGTTCTCCTTAGAGGTCCAGTAAGGATCATGTCTTATTGAATCAGATCCAGTGTTACTACAGGAGGAAACCTAAATTAAACTAACTTTATTTATTTATACTGGATAGCTCTATCAGTTGTAAACTGTTCTCCTAGAGGTGTAGTAAATGTCATCTCTTATTGATCCAGTGTTACTACAGGAGGAAACCTAAACTAAACCAACTTGACTATTTATACTGGATAGCTCCATCAGTTCTAAACTGTTCTCCCTAGAGGTCCAGTGTTACTACAGGAGGAAACATAAATTACACTTGTGATCGTGTAGATTCACGTATTGAATTCAGTGTATTGCTTTGTCGGGCAATTAAAGTGAATACGTAATTAGCTCATTGTATAATTTATGCATGATCATAGCTTAATTCACTGGCGGAGGTTTGTACTCTCGGAGTTTCTCCGAATGCCCTCTATTTTAGTAGTCTTAGTATAGTTTCAAAATACATGAATATCTGAGCATTGTCACGTTAATGGAGAGCACCTTTGGTTGATTTTGAAACCTTGAGAGCAGATTATTGTGAGCGTCACAGCCGTACATACGTAGTCTTCAATGATTCAATGAATTGTGCTGTGCTCAGCGAAAATACTCTCACGGAAATTTTCCGAATATTTGCCATTCCGCTAAAGCTTTTCTAGAGATCTAAGGGTGCAGCAACTTTATTTTTAAATTTTAAGTGGAGTACTGTTATCACCAGCCTCACCCATGTTGCGAAATAGTGTCATTTTGAAATTTCAAAACTTTCCCGTGTTAAAAACCCCACGAGTAGAGCTTGCGAAATCTTCTGCTCTGCACTGACGCAGAGGTTTGACGTCACGCGCCAAGGGAGTCTTTGTACGGCGCGAAATTGCCTTCAAATCGAGCCGCAAAGGACATCCGGTATTTAAGTGTTCTTCAAGGGTTTCTTTGTTAGCTTTCTTGTTTCCTAAGGAGTGTTCTCGGAGAGGGGTTTCTTTGTTGCCCAGTGGTCTTGTGACAATTTAGCACACGTTTTGTTTTGCATTAGCTATGGGCGAGTCCAGACATACTGGTCTTTGGGAGTATTTCGCAATGGCTATTAGACTATCACAACGAAAAGCTTTTTGTTTGCTGTTTTTCTTCGACTTCCAAAGAATATGAGGGATTGACTTGTTGTTTTTGTGGAATGGAATGGAATGGAATGGAAATATTTTAATTATATTCATGCAGCGTAGCAGATTCAGATTCAATGGCTGGTATCCATAGGGGCCATGTATTAAACATGTATATAATAGAATATTTACAATGTAATCATTTTGGATAAATTTACAAGTCTATAGCCATGGATCAGATCCATATATTAAGGTTTATTTCAAACACAGTTTGCGCAAGACGTGCAAACGTATGAATGTTCTCAGGGGGAATTACGTGATCAGCTGAGAGCTTATTATAAGCCTGCGCCCCACCAGAAATAAAACTGTATTCTTCCCAAAATTATGCTCTATACCTTGGGAGGTATTAACTTATCCTTGTGTGTAGTATTACATCGATGTACATTACTAAATTTCTATACAGTAAAACCCCGCATATAAGAACCTAGATTTTCCAAGTTAGCCTAAACAGGCTCTTATGTTTCTATCTTATTTCTCTTGTTGCTACCCTTTCATATGATCTGCTTGAGCTTTCCATATGATTATCAAATTCTACACGGTACGCCTCGATGACATGGTGTGAACTATTGATATTTATTTATAATCTAAATATAAAACGATTCCATGCAGTTTACATGCATAAACAACCAAAATTATTTACAATAGATACATGATAATAGGTAGCTCTATTTGTCGCAGACTCAGTGGGGTTCGCAGGCACAGTAGGGGCCATCCCTTTTGCTTTCGTGTAAGCCGCGGTGGAAGTTGACGAGAGGTTGCAACTCAGTCTCTCGATCGCGTTTCACCGTCGACTTTCGGGCACTCGCGACAACCCTCAATAACTTTGATCTGGTTCAAATTTGGCGTGAATTTTGCTCGTTTGATCAGTATATCCTGTCAACTCTCACCAACGCTGGTGCAACTTTTGTTCTTGGGTTTGATCGGGGCATGAGACTCTCATGTAAACTCTCGCTTCTCAACTCTCATCAACTTTCATATATGCAACTCTTCTCGTTTGATCAAGCAATGAAGGTTGAGAAAACTCTCATGTAAACTCTCGCTTCTCAATTCTCATGCAACTCTTGTCTTGTTTGATCAAGCAATGAAAGTTGAGAAAACTCTCATGTAAACTCTCGCTTCTCAACTCTCATGCAACTCTTGTTCTCGTTTGATCAAGCAATGAAAGTTGAGAAAACTCTCATGTAAACTCTCGCTTCTCAACTCTCATGCAACTCTTGTTCTCGTTTGATCAAGCAATGAAGGTTGAGAAAACTCTCATGTAAACTCTCGCTTCTCAACTCTCATGCAACTCTTGTTCTCGTTTGATCAAGCAATGAAAGTTGAGAAAACTCTCGTGTAAACTCTCGCTTGTCAACTCTCATGCAACTCCTGTTCTGATTTGATCAAGCCGGCAATGAAAGTTGAGAAAACTCTCATGCAAACTCTCGCTTCTTAACTCTCATGCAACTCATGTTCTCGTTTGATAAAGCAGTGAAAGTTGATGAGATTCTCACGCAAACTCTCGCTTGTCAACTCTCATGCAACTCTCATCTTTGTTAGACCACGGCTTTGCTGCAGAAGGAAACCTAAACTAACTCACATCATCTCTACAAGTCCAGTAATAATCATATCTTATTAATCGGTCCAGTGCTTTCAAAGGAGGAAATGGCTTAGCTAACTTTATTCATGCATGGACTGTAGGTATAGCTTTGTCAGTTCAAAACTGTTCTTTCTAGATATCCAATAAAATTCACCTCAGCGGCTTATTGATCCAGTGTTACAAAACAGGGTGGAAGCCTAAACTATAAACTAAGTAACTAACTTTAGTTATACTGCATAGCACTAGTTTTAAACTGTTCTTCCTATAAAGTAGAGGTCGTGCGAGAGCCATCGCTAGTAATAATTGCACCAGTTACTACAGCAGTAAAGTGCTAAACTAGGGTACCTATATCAGTAGTCGAGAAAACCGGCGGCGTTTGGTAGAGTTAAACTGAAAGTACTCTGCTCATAACCACTATCACTGACTATCACGACTATAGGCAACTGCGTCTACATTCATAAAAAGCATGCAAAAGATTATATTATTCATTGCGTATACTACATAAAGCTGGTGTTGATAAAACAGACAATATATTAAAGGTCTATTTTGCAACCACAAGACCAATACTAGAATATCCGGTACCCAGTCTGGCAGGCTATACCTGAATATCTTTCAGACAAAGTTGAATCGGTCCCTTAAAAAAGTCCTTAAAATTATTAACGTGGAGAAGAAAACTATGATAAACTTTGTGGAAAGACTACATACAAAATGAAAAATAAGTAAACAATAGCTATATGCATAAAATTAAAACCCCAAATCTTCTATTAAATACATTATTTCCTCATCACCATATAGAGAACATGAGCTATATATAACTTGCGAAACGGCAATGGTCGAAACTTTTATCTTTTCGATGATAAATCGTAGTCGGTCGAACAAAGTTATGAGGTGACTTTTTTACATTTACAGTACAAAGATCCACTATTAACTTTCCATACTTAGCTAGATATAGTTTTATGCAGATATTTAATATTACTTTAATTTTAATAATATATATAGTTTTAGCCGGTATTGAAACCTTCAACCTTGTATAAATAGGTTTTCCTTTCGTCCTTCTCTTATAAGTCAAATTCCGTCTCCGATAATTCAGTTTTTGCACATTGTTGTTTACAAACCGCAAGAGATTTTAATAAACTTAAATTGTTACTATTATTATAATCACCCATTGTCTGTGAACAATCGCGGCTTTTACTCCCATATAATAACTCATAAGGCTGCATTTTAGTTGGGCGTTTATCAGTTTTCACACGTACGTATACTTATCAGTCACGCACGGAAAATTTAAATCTTTCTAACTTTAATAGGTACGGAATGCCACCGACAACAAATGCGCGTTCAATTATGCACGAAACTGAGTGTTGTCTATTCGTTAATTAATTTAGCTATTTCATAAGTAATTAAGCTCTTCATGATCAGCCAAACGAAAATGAGACTTGACGAGAATTGAAAAGCGAGTGTTTGCATGAGAGTTTTCTCAACTTTCATGCCTCGGTCAAACGAGAACAAGAGTTACATGAGAGTTGATGAGAGTTGAGAACCAAGAGTTTGCATGATTGAGAGTTTTCTCAACTCTCGTGTCCCGGTCAAACGAGAACAAGAGTTGCATGAGAGTTGATGAGAGTTGAGAAGCGAGAGTTTGCATGAGAGTTTTCTCAACTATCGTGTCCCGGTCAAACGAGAACAAGAGTTGCATGAGAGTTGATGAGAGTTGAGAAGCGAGAGTTTGCATAAGAGTTTTCTCAACTATCGTGTCCCGGTCAAATGAGAACAAGAGTTACATGAGAGTTGATGAGAGTTGAGAAGCTAGAGTTTGTATGAGAGTTTTCTCAACTCTCGTGTCCCGGTCAAATGACAACAAGAGTTACATGAGAGTTGATGAGAGTTGAGAAGCAAGAATTTAAATGAGAGTTTTCTCAACTCTCATGCCCCGGTCAAACGCGAGAACAAGAGTTACATGAGAGTTGGTGAGAGTTGAGAAGCGAGAGTTTGCATGAGAGTTTCCTCATATTTCTTGGTCCGGTCAAACGCGAGAACAATTAAGAGTTGCATGACCGAGTCATGATAAGAGTTGAGAAGCGAGAGTTTGAATGAGAGTTTTCTCAACGGCTAATATCCCAGTCAAACAAAAACAAGAGTTGCATGAGAGTTGATGAGTTGAGAAGCAAGACTGAGTTTGCATGAGAGTTTTCTCAACTCTATAGTAGCCTGGATTACCGCGCTCGTAGCAAAAACTCTCAGTCAACTCTCACAAAAAAATTGAACCAGCTCAAAAAGTCGACGAATGTACATGGGAGTCGACGAGAATTTGCGGTCAAATACGACCAATTCTTATCGTGAATTCACATCCTAGACCTCGTTTGACCTAGATTTGATCTTGTGACGTGCGCTTCAGAACGTTTAAGGGGAAAAGATTCGAGCCGTTCCTAGCTGTCTCAGCAGCGAAATGTGTAGTGTGTAGGCAGCTTGCTTGATATTTCCCCAAATATGGATGCTTGAAAAATAGTATATACTAATTACGTTCTCGCTGTCAATAATATACTTTCCGGCGCGAGAAAGCCCACGCTTGTGTATGCATGCAAGTACAACCATGTTTGATCAAAACAATGACATACTAAAATAGGATTTGAAAGCACAATAGTTGTTCGTGTGTCCTTTAATTTAAATTAATCCCCGCAGAGACATCACGTTTTTCTTGACAAGTTTTTTTTTTTGACGAGCCGGTTTGCTCACTCGTGCGTGCGACGAGTCGAACGTTACGAGTTCAAGTTTTCGACAAATTTTTTCTTGACAAGTTAGTTACGAAACCCACGCTTTTCGAAACATGCAAACAATCACATGATAATTTTCGTTCAAAGTTGCTTCCAAGACTGATAAAAACAGGTGGAACTGTCTACGATTGATGTCGATATATACCACACTTCGACTAAGCGTTTTTCACTGAAAATGAATCGGATTTAAAGGCAATATTAAGTTTTGCTTGCTGAAAACGGCTAGCATGAACAGCTTTTGATCGAACAAGGCTCGTTAGCAAGAAAAGCCTTGTGAATTTGTGCGTACTATATGACACGCAAACAAATAAAAGGTGTCAGCTTGTCAAGAAAAACTTAGGGCATTACCTGGTTTCCATATGGTCGTATATAATGTTCGTAAAAATAGAGTCACGATCTTTCTCAACGGCCAGTTTATAATAGTTTATACCTGTAAACCACATATAAATCATAAGTATTCTCTAGTTATAATCACTCCGCGTATTTTCAGTTCTCAAATGTTGTATTTCGGCTGATGAGCTAGATGGTGACTCAATCTTTACGACCGTTACGACCAAATGGAAACCAGATTTTATCTTTGTCATAACTGATTGTATAATTATAATACAATTATATAATTTCACCCCCTCATTCAATCACATTCAATTCATCCAATCTGACTCTCCCAAATACCGAGGATTTTGGAGAATAAGACTGATGAGAGCCTGCCCTCACGCGACCTTGGTTAACTGTTCTTAATGCTTTCCCAACACTATCAAGTATTCTATCTAAGTTAAGACATAATTGGAACACTCGTCAAACCTTTATCAGTTTGTGAATACAGAGCTTGAAATGTCAAGTGCCAACTCTCATAGCCAGTTTGATTCAGGGCTGAATTAATTAAACTGGCTATAAGTTAATAAAATCACAATCGAGAATATAAAACTAATTGTCTCTATTAATGGGCGTTACTTTACAGAAAGATTAAATAATTAAATAAATTAGCGTTTTGCAGGTATTTTAAACACGTTGACTATTCTATAATTATATAAACTTATTCCGTTTTTTTATAGCCAAATTTTCAGATTTTTGAATCTCGATGACCGCATTCCTGCCATTTTTGCAGAGCGAATTCGCCAAAGAATTACGTGATGTTCATTAGCATAATAAAGAATTAAACACACCATTTCATTTGCCTTGCAACCGCATGACCCCTACCCCGCCCAGCCCCCCGAGTTGGGCCAATGCAATCTACTCTTGAGAGATGTTAATTAGTGAAATCAGTGAAGAATTTTCGATATGTGAGAAAACATCAGCGGAGTGCAATGAAGACTCGTATTTGGCAATTTTACATCTCTCAAGAGTAGAATTGCATTGCAAGTTGCAAGAAAAATTGCACCGTGTAACATGGCCTTAAGTCAGGTCAATAGCCCAGGCCAAAGATTGTTTACCAAAATATAGGCCAAAGCAAGGATTGGGGCAGACCAAAGCTCGCAGTAAGTATAGATAGATTACTCTAAATATGAATTCAATGTAGTAAAAAATAACGAATTAAATGTTCCATACGTTAACCAGTTGTATATTTGAAAGATAAAAAACAACTGTTTTTACATTTGTATATGCCGGTTTAAGGCGAAACGGGAACTTCAAAAAACGACGAAAGGACTTGGCTATCGGAAACATCGGAAGTCTCACTTGAGCCTTAATTGTCATCCTTGCAAATTTTACTTAACCTTGGCTTTGCCAGAGACATTGTCTTCTATATATCTTTTGAACATTATTTATACTCAAACTTTAGGCTATCTATACAGGTTTTGTATATACGTATTATTTTCATACAAAGGCTTTTACCTATTTTGCATTGAACTCTTTAATTTGTTTAGTCATAAAACATTTCTACAATTAACATGGTTTACATCGCTTCCTATCAGAATTGCACAATCTTGCTCTAATCGTGTTATGTTACAATTAAAACTAGGTTGACCTGAATTGTTCTTCCTGTGTACCACGAAATAGTTCGTTCGTTTCCCATTTCAATACATGCGCCGATCATATGATCTTTTATGCATGACGTGAAGATTTGCCAGAAAATTTGCCAGAGTGACTGACAAAAGTTGTTCAACTATTTGGTAACGCACAGACGTCTATATGAAATGGCAAAATTTGTAATAATTGTTTCTTTTTATACAGTGAATTGAATATATAGGACGCTTTTCCGGTCAATGGAAAATGATACAATTTCAGTACGTTTGTGCGGCATATTTGTTTTAATGATAATACATGTAAGTCTGACCTTGATTCTAGGCAGACAGTCAATTGAAGCCTCGGTCAAACATAGGTCAAACTACTGAAACATGGAAAGATAACAGTTGATAAAAGTTGCAACTCTCGTTCGCGTTTTTTATCTCTAGTATAAACTTTGAGCTTGTTCGAATTCTGAAGAGAGTTAATGAGAGTTTTCGTGGCTGGCTGGCAAACCACAACAGCTATATAGCCAACTGCTGTGCGTGGCCCCAATAGCCAGAAGTACAGAGCCAATTTCAATGGTACAGTTGGTACAGTTGTAACACGCACACACAATAACCATACTTCATAGTCATGGACAGATGTCGGTCTGACTATTATCAGTACTACAGTTATCAGAGGGACTCCTTTTTATTACACCTAGTAGCCACGTATTATAAATAAAAATTGATGACTGATGTAGTATCATTTGATCTTCCTGTTTTTATGAACGAATCAGCATTTCTGTAGTTGAAAATAATACCCCAAGAATGGCTGAGCTAGCTTATAACAGCTCAAGCTGAGCTATTTCTAAATACGGTTCCTGCCTTTTAGCTCATATACGGAATACAATATATTCGCATACATGGTCGATTTTGAAAGTACTATAGATAATTATCTCCACACCCAAAATTGTAGTACTATTCCATATCATGAATAGAATTAACATGATTTTCTTATTTTGATAGCCATTACTTGCCCAGCATCTACTGTAGGAAAGTACTCGAGAAATACATATAGACTATTGGGAGAAATTTTAATATAAAATACAGGAGACGGTATAGTTGTTAGCAGTTTCACAGGAAGCAGCGGGGGCGGTCGATGCACGTCACAGCTCTTTGTGCCTTAAACGGCGATAAAAAGGCATGGTCGACGAACGACCCAGGCATTGCAAAGCAACGTCGAACGGCAAATACACCTCCGTCGAAATGAACGCGGGTCGATTTTGGAAGAGTACACGAACAACCCCGCTACTTTGGGAATTTTTACTCAGCCTTTTGCAAGATTCGGAATGCAGAGAATTCATCAGATGGATAGACGAATCTGCTATGACTTTTAAAATCGTAAACTCCTATCAAGTTGCTACATTGTGGGGAGAAATTAAAGGAAGGCCCAATATGGATCAAAATAAATTGAGAAGAGCCATTAGACAATATTATAAATCTGGCGTAATGAAAAAGGTAAACCATTGATTGTGCAGTAGTAAATATATTTATGTAATTTTATATGGCATACAGTAAAGTTTAATAAGTTTCGCCTATATTATTGTATTGGGTCGGCAAAAGCATTAGCCTTTGAAAAAGAAAATATAAACTGTAGCATAAGAAAAGAATTTATGAATGAAAAGAGTCAGATATTGTTATAAAAAGTCTGTACTTGCTTACAAGAAAATGCATAAAATATAATGGACTGTCTGTACAGTATAGTCTATACAATTGTCACGAGGTTTCAATTTGGACCAAAGTGCTGTTTCTTCGTTCTGTTACGCATATCATACCATTCTAAAATTATTGTAACTGTTGCAGTTATATAAACTATCCTTATAGTCTTTTAAAAATAATGTAAATATTGACAAAATAACTTTAACTTAAACTCAAAGAATACAAACATGGCGTGACTGTCCATCATAATTCCAACACGTCAATTGCATGCCAATCTTTCATGAGAATTTGCCTTTGCAGAATGAACTTAAAAGGCTCCTAAGATAGTATTAAAAGTCTGCTTTAATGAAATAGGAATGAAATAGAACGGTATCAGTAGAGGAAACATATTTGGAACTCCGCCAAACTGTAGGCTTCGTAGCTTTGATTGGAAACAACACCATTTTGATTTTCTGAAAAATTCCAGCGTGGGAAATGGGAAAGGAATTCATCCCCTAACATCGAGGGGTTAGTTTAACAAACTATAAGCTCCACATGAATTTAGTTATTGGTGACAGATGTTTTACAATATATGTATATATCAATATATCCAATGTCAAATGTACAACTGAAATCTTAATTATTCTTGCATTATTGTTAGATTGCCATTTGAAGTCTTATATACTCTCAATATTACAAGATTGCGTTTAACTTTACTCATAAAGATAGCAATTAAGCCTTGTTATTTAAGAAATTACTTTTGAACTGTATATTTTAGACGTTCATTTACCAGTTTATAATAATCTAACATCGCTTCCCAGTTTGAAAACACATTGAAGATATATTATTATTGAGGAAATTGACCCTTCTAAAGAGGAATTAAAACTTTGCATTTCCAAAAACAACGTTAAATATTAAACAGTAAATTAAACACTAATAACAGAACATAAGGTTCTGACGTAGAAATTATAAATTTCAACATCTTAATAAAAATTATATCGACCATATCAAGACTCTTTATTTTATTATTTTGAGATAGCAAACTTTTTTTTAATTAAACAGTTAAGATCGATGCATCATTGCAAATTTGCTACATCACTTTATAAAATTGTATTCTAAAACAAATTAGACCCAATTAATGTCAAAATATGTAACTTGTTGGCATGTTCGTAAAATATACACTAAAACAGCACTGAAATATGGGATGCCCGGCCATTTATAATTTTTAATTAAATATAGACTGTATACAGTATAGAAAACTACCACGAACAGGTATAGCAGTATACAAGACAAAAACAATCTTCTATTTGTTCTAGCTCGCTCGTGTACGAGAATTTTAAAGAATGTTAACAATATAACATGCTTTCTACTTTACTAAATTCATTGATCATGATCATAACATGATTTAACTGCAAGCTATAAAAAGGACCTATAAGATAAACAAATTTGACGAGAATGACCAATCCTTTTTTAAATATATGTTTAACTCTTCTTTCCAAATTGATTAAGCATCATTTTCAAATTTATTTCAGCCCAATTTTCTCAACAAATATTTTGATATTTAAATCATTTCTTCTTTTCTACAGGTGAAGGGACAAAAAGGCGGATATAAATTTGAGAAATTGCCCTACAATCCATTCAAGAGCCAGCAACAACAGCAGCAGCAACATCATGAACAACTACAACAACAAGACATTAACAGTAGATCACCTATGCAATGCAATTCAACATTCATGGTAAGGGATTTTGAACTGTATAAATGTATAGGCTATATATGAAGGTGATTTGGTAGTTGAATTTGCGACAGATACTTCATACTTTTAACTTTCATTTTTATAATATATATCAAGCATGCACCTGCCTTAAGTTGAACTTACTACACTAAACTGCAAAACTTTGAAATTGGTTCAATATACAAATACATTGAAACTAGTATATGTGCATGCTCTAAATCGACTTGAATTAAAATTTAGATATAATTTAGATTAGTTCAGTAAAGTTTACGTTTCTTTCTGTAGCAACGCTGGATCAATAAGGTATGATTCTTACTGGATCTCAACTAATAGAGCTATCCAAGCTATCCAGTATCAACAAAGTTAGTTTAGGTTAGATTTCCCCTGTAGCAAGTGGCAATACCGGATCACTAATAGATGATTCTTACTGGACCTCCAGGAAGAACAGTTTAGAACTGATAAAGCTATCCAGTACAAAAAAAGTTAGTTTAGTTTAGGTTTCCTCCTGTAGTAACACTGGAGCAGTAGGGGATGACTCTTACTGGACCTCTATAGGAAGAACAGTTCAGAACTGATAGAGCTATCCAGTAGCTATAAATAAAAAAAGATAGTTTAGTTTAGGTTTCCTCCTGTTGTAACACTGGATCAATAAGGGATAACTCTCACTGGACCTCTAGGAAGAACAGTTTAGAACTGATAAAGCTATCCAGTATAAATATAGTTACTGTAGTTTAATTTAGATTTCCTCCTGTAGTAACACTATATTAAGGGGATGACTCTTAATCACTATTGTCTAGGGAGAACAGTTTAGAACTGATAGAGCTATCCAGTATAAATAAAGTTAGTTTAGTTTAGGTTTCCTCCTGTAGTAACACTGGATTAATAAGAGATGATCTTTACTAGACCTCTAGAAAGAACATTCTTGAACTGATATAGCTATCCAGCATAAATAAAGTTTGAGTTTAGGTTTCATCCTGTAGTAACACTGTTCAATGAGAAATTATTGGTCTTTACTTGACCTCTATAGGAAGAATAGTTCAGAACTAATAGAGCTATCCAGCATAAATAAAGTTAGTTTAGTGTATAGATTTCATCCTGTAGTAACACTGGATCAATAATAGATTATCCTTACTGGACCTCTAAGAGGTCTTTAGTTATTACTGGTCGTTTAATTAGGGCTTCAACAGTATCTGTACTGGAACAACACTATAATTTTGAAACAGCATGCCACCAGCTTTAATTAAAACTGTTCTTCCTTGAGGTCCAGTAAGAATCATCCCTTATTGATCCAGAGTCGCTACAGAAAGAAACCTAAACTAAACTAATTTTATTTATACTGGATATCTCTATCAGTTCTAAGCTGTTCTTTATCCAATGATAAATACAGTTTACAGTACATACAATACATTAAATATATTTTAATTATACTTTTAGCCATCGCAAGAAAGAAACCAATTCTCCTGCCAAAACTACAATTATTTTCTTGGTGCCTTCGTTGCAGGAGAAAACGTGACCTTACAAGACACGGCGACAACTGCTTGTCATTCTGACCAATACACTACGGACTGTGAATCCGAAGCCAGCTTCGAAAGTTGGATAGAAGAAGACAATATTGACGTTTTAATGCACCCTATTAGTAATAGCGAGAAAGACTATTTAGATTCGATAGCTGATGAAATTAGGCTGGACTATTTTATCTAATTATGATTATGTATAGGTTATTTAGGTATAGTATGTACATATTCTGATTTGTATCATAACTTTAAATTAATAAATACATAAATTGTAGAACTTTTACGTTTGTAAAGTGTTATTTAAACTTAAACTAAACTATTAACTTTATTTTCACTAGATAGTTGTATCAGTTCTAAACTGTTCTCCCCAGACCTAGAGGTCCAGTAACAATATCCCTTATTGATCCAGTGTTATAATAGGAAGAAACCTAAACTAAACTAACTTTATTTATACTGGATAGCCGTATCAGTTCTGAACTGTTCTTCCTAGAGATCTAGTAAGGATCATCTCTTATTGATCCAGTGTTACTACAGGAGGAAACCAAAGCTAAACTAACTTTATTTATACTGGATAGCTCTATCAGTTCTAAACTGTTCTTGCTAGAGGTTCAGTAAGAATCATCTCTTTATTGATATAGTGTTACTACAGGAGGAAACATACAAACTATAACTTTATTTATACTGGATAGCTGTATCAGTTCTAAACTATTCTCCCTAATGATCTAGTAAGGATCATATCTTATTGATCCAGTATTACTACAGGAGGAACCTAAACTAAACTATCTTTAATTATTTATACTAGATAACTCTATCAGTTCTAAACTGTTCTTCCTAGAGGTCCAGTAAGAATCATTTCTTATTGATCCAGTGTTACTACAGGAGGAAACCTAAACTAAACTATATATCTTTATTTATACTAGGTAACTCCATCAGTTCTAAACTGTTCTTCCTAGAGGTCCAGTAAGGATCATTCATCTCTTATTGATCCAGTGTTACCACAGGAAACGTAAACTAAACTAACTTTATTTATTAATCTCAGAGGCGGAAAGCACACAACTGTACTCGTTGTACCACGCTAACCCATTCTTCATCCTATTTATATAAAATGTTCAGTTGAAAACAATTCGTTATTTCGAGTGTTTACAATTCAAGATCCTCTTTGTAAGAATGCAAATACCAAAGGTCAGAACCGATTGTTTTGAAAGACGTTTTCCCAGTATCCGGATCTATGTTATGAAATTCTTTGCTATGGAAATTCATCAAAGAATGAATTTAAAGAAAAGACATTCTGAACCGCGACTTTGCTTTGAGAACATTAATATATAGATTTTTTTCTTAAAATATTGTCATTCGGTCTAATTCGATCCTCGGGCGACGAGGTTTTCTATTATTATTATTAAAATCTATATTATGTAGATCTACTCTTTATTAAATGGCTTTTGTCGTTGCCCGGCCTTTTGTGTCTGACATGCCTGTGTCTGTGGCTGTATTGTTTGTACCGGTCTCCGGGCCATGCCCGTCTATAATAAGCTACTTGTAAAACACATTTGATTGTGGGCAAACGTTTAATTAAAAAAAATTCAAAAATAGAAAAAAACCTCTGCTTGCCAATTAATTTAAATATGTCTCCAAGGGCCTGGGCTGCACCAGAGTACTTATCTGAATTGCTAGGACAGCTTGGAAAATTTGAAAAGCACTAGAGAAGATGGCAAAATCATTTTGGTTATCCCTAGAGTTAAGAAGGTTGTTGAAGGTAGACAAAGTTTTAGAAGATCTCTCCCAACACTGTGGGACAATTTACCAGACAGCTTGAGACTTGTGCCAAGTATTAGCTCTTTTAATAGACATTTTAAAATGCACTTTTTTAACTTTCTTACAATTAAATTAGGTTTAGGTCATATTTTTTTAATGCAATACGAATGCAAAACGCTTTCAGTAGATTTAGCGCTATAGAAATTCCATTTATTATTATTATTATTAAAATTATTGCTATTGTGTCTTTATAAACAGAATTAATTAAGCAGCATTCTGGCAAAATTAATTTTCTCCCTTTGTTATGAAAGTGCAAGTGAACACAGACAAGAAATGGAAATAAAAAAGTCAATATTTGCCAAAAATTACGTTGCGTGCACTACGATATGAAATGGAGCCCTAGTGGGGAAACAGTTTATGTATTTCGGAAGTTACCTTCCATGTTTTTGATAAATTACACAAGTCACAAGTGTTTTGAAGATTTATTAAGTGGGCCACTCTTCAGCCTACAATTTCATGAGCACGAGTTTAAGCTAGTATATACTTATTCATTTATAGCTGAGTCAACTTAGAGGGCGTATGCAAATAAATGGATTAATTGTCATTTACATGCTTACAGAAGCCGATACATATTCTCAGTTGGGACAATTACTATGTCACTTATGTTAGTACAATATCAGATAATTTTGTCATCGCCCTGTCATATACTACCTCTGCATGGTCTAACCATGCTTAACTCAGCAGTGAGTTCTGTACAACATCAGATCACTTTAAGGTAGCTCACATTCAAGAACATGTACTACCTCTGCATGATCGAACCATGCTTAACTCAGTGTTCAACAACTGTTTGTTCTGAAGAATTTTGGTAGAGCGCCTCGTTAGTTTTGTTTTTATAATGCATTAATATAGGGATGTTTCAAATATACATGGTATTTGCTACATGTAATTAAATTTTAATGATTAATAATCTTGCTCAAGTGCTCTTACTTATGTACTTGGAACAGCATTGCTACAAGTCTGCTGTAGGTTTATTACAACTTGTGCGTTTTTACGTGTGTCGTACGTCAGTATCTCTGCATGATCTAACCATGCTTAACACAGCAGTGAGTTCTGTACAACATCAGATCACTTTAACGTAGCTCACGTTCAAGAGCATGTACTACCTCTGCATGATCTAACCATGCTTAACTCAGCAGCTACTAACTCTTGACGAAGGGCCTTCGCTCGAAACGTCGAGTTTCTGCTTATTTTGTAAGGTAGTAATATAACCACTCTGTACTACCCACACTGGTACAGACAGTTTTAGTTAACTCAGCAGTGAGTTCTTCACAAATTCAGATCACATTAAGGTAGCTCAAGAGAATGCTATATACCTCTGCATCATCTAACCATGCTCTGTACAACATGAGATCACTTTAAGGTATACCCCACATTCAAGAACATGTACTACATCTGCATGATCTAGCCATGCTAAATAATTCAGCAGTGATTTTTGTCAGTACAACATCAGAGATACTTAAGTCAACACCCACAAGTTCTGTGCAACATCAAATCGATTCGGCCAAGGATATAGGGAAAGAGGAAGTCGTATTTATCATCCTATACTACAGAAGGACAAAACAACACTTGAGAGAGATTACAAGCTCTCCACCTGTATCATTTCCTGCATGTCAAAGACATTGATGATTTAGGATAAAATGAGGAATTACCTAGCGTGCCTGCAGGGCCGGGAGAGGAGGCAATTAAACACTATAACAACAAAAACAAACTTTGATCTTTTATTTTCAAAGTCTTCTAACCTATCTACGCCATTACTAATAAGATTATTCACTATTTACTACAATTTATTTATTTATTATTTACAATTCTTTTATACATTGATCAGTATGTCATATATCATTATAAGTTTTGGTTTACAAATGTAATGCGATTGACTTCGTTTTTTCAACTTTACAAAGTATATAGAAGAACGCCTGGTAGTGGACACTTTGCAAAATATTGACAAAGGGGGAAGGGGGGTGGGGGGAAGAGTTTACCAAATACCAATATATGACCAGCGTTTATAGTTAGAAATCTTAGTTCTTTAGACTTTATTGCCTTACATTGAATGAAATAGATAGCTTAATTTATAGCCTAGAAATGCTTTCATGGTTGAAATTGTTAATCGTTACAGCTTCGTTACAGTTATTCAGCTATCATAATCATTTATAGGCATTCAGAACTTATTGTGGGCAGTCACTGCCACCCCGTTGTTACAAGTGGCTAGTACATGTATAGCACTGCAACAACTTAACAAAGCGTTCAAAGAGCACCCCCTTCTGTTGAAAGCTAATTAGCTAAAACGTCGGATGACTTGTTGTACGTCAAACTAAACTCATGCTCCCCTCCCACAATTAATTTCGCATGAAGAACAGTTTGAAATAGTGGCCGTAGTAAATCTAGATTCCACTGTGGATTGGATTTTCAGTTATCCCAGTTTAGAGCTGTTTGGAACTAAAGAATACATTTTCGAGTCCATTCAAGACTAGAATCCCCCAGATAGTGGCTCCTTCATATGAACAGTATCCACAAATCTAGCATAGCAGATTACTTTCTCGTATGCAAATAACTACATCACTTGAGGGCGGTTCTAGACGATTATGTGAACACTTCAGCACTTGGTATATAACAACTGATAAACATTTGACTTGCACCTTGATCAATACGATTAAAGCTGGTAGATGTTCAAATATTTAGGCAGGCTCCACAGTTTGGGATATATAAAACCCATAAAGCTACCTCTACAAAAGCATTCTACTAATTCCACGCGGGCACAAAATAAGGTAGTCCCCCAAAAAAGCAGAATTATTTTTTAACATTATTCATCATTTGCGTCTTGGGGCTCCTGCTCGCTTTCGTCCTTGGGTCTCAGATCTTCTAGAACATGATAAATTGGAGGAGGTTTGATGGGTACTTCTTCTTCATCACCTGAGACGGAAATATAAATTGGTTCCTCATCCGGAAGCTGAAAGATTAAAAAGAAAAACTTTATTGCATGGGTAATGACATTCTATTAAAAATCTCAAAATAAGTTAGCAATGTCGAGGAAACACGGATTGAGATTTGCAAATTTTTTTGCTCGATTTCTGTGATATGCAGTTGTCTGATAATAACTTCACCTCAGTCACGTGTGCGAAGAGTGCCTCCAGTTTGACTCTACCAAAACACGGCAGGTTTCTTCCTGTAGTAACACAGGATCAATAAGGTACGGGTCTTATTTGACCTCCACGGAGAACAGTTTAGGAATAACAAAGCTATCTATCTATAATTATAAACTAGTATTAGTTTAGTTCGGTAATTAGGTTTCCTCATAAAGTAAAGGAGATCAATAAACGATATAACTCACAACGGAACACTAGGAAGAACAGTTTAGAATTGAAAGAGCTATCCAGTATAAACAAAGTTAGTTTAGTTTAGGTTTCCTCCTGTAGTAACAGTGGATCAATAAGAGATAATCCTTACTGGATCTCTAGGAAGAAGAGCTCAGAACTGATAGAGATAACCAGTATAAATAAAATTAGTTTAGTTCACAGGTTTCCTCCTGTAATAACACTGGATCAATAAGAGATAATCCTTACTGGACCTCTAGGAAGAACAATTTAGAACTGATAAAACTATAGAGTATTTATAAAATTCGTTTAGCTTAGGTTTCCTCCTGTAGTAACACTGGATCAATAAGAGATGATCCTTACTGGACCTCCACGAAGAACAGTGTAGAACTGACAGAGCTATCCAGTATAAATAAAGTTAGTTTAGTTTAGGTTTCCTCCTGTAGTAACACTGGATCTATAAGAATGATCCTTACTGGGCCTCTAGGAAGAACAGTTTAGAACTGATAGAGCTACAGTATCTAGTATAAATAAAGTTACTTTAGTTTAGGTTTCCTCCTGTCAGTGCCTTTTTTAACTATATATCTGGGGGGGGGGGACAATTGCCCCCCCAGGGAAAGAATTTGCCCCCCCTCCCAGTAAAGCCATTTCTGCCTCCGAAGTGCGAAGCAGAATTGCTCATGATTGCTGTCAGAATTGCAGTTGATTTACTTGATAATGAGATTATGCCCTTCCATAGCCTCCTCCACAGCCATCTTGTGTGTAATTCATATTGTTCTTCACCGAGTATTTCATAATAGCGATAGATTTCATGCAAACAATCCGATAAAATGCTAGCCTTTCCAAGCCTTGCGACTATTTCCTAGCACTCTCCTCCGCAGAGGCGTTGTGTTTTGTTAGGTTTTATTGCAAAATTTGTTTCTTAAAAATATCAAGTTATATTAAGAGCCCCCCCCCCCCAATCGCCACAAAAACCATTCTGTGCTCGAAGCTGAAACTGATTAAATACGTTTCGACTGAGGAAAAAGACGATATACTGGAGGAACTTGATTTGTGAAATCTCGTTAAAGCAGTTGTAGATATGGTTCCAAGAAGAATAGATTTAGTTTAGATTTTTAACTGTTAAATACATGTATGCATCATCATAGCATGAATATTTCTTCTCAGATTTATTCTGTATCGTATGAAAAAGCAACGCAATTTTGAGAATGCGGAAATGGTGTCTCATAGAACCTAAAATGATTTAAATGCAACATTTCTGATCAAAATCACATTAAGATCTGGCTACGCAACTGGTTATAGCTGTACGATTATAGCTACAAAGAGTTGAAGTTATTGTTTAAAGTAAAATATAGGTGAAGTTAATAAATTAAAGTTTTACAAAATCTCCCTTCAGACTCGCGCGTTCGCCAAACCTCGACGGCTCATATTTTTCGTTCTGCCTTTTTTCCTGTTTTGCCCCCCCAGTGAAAATTCCTTAAAAAAGGCACTGAGAAGAATTGAGATGTCGAATTTCACTCGCAGACTGCCGAGCAAGGAGTGAATAAAACAGAGTTGTGTCCTCCTAAATATACGCTATTCACTGCTCACAGACACGCCTTGGTACTCAGTGGGCAGATGATTTTCAGCTTAATTGAGCAATTTTCACAAACAACTACCCACAGCTTCCTGATTTTTCATGATAATTTAGTGCGTGTTTTTAATTGATCAATTTTACGCGGAATAACTCAAGCCCAGTCACGAAACATATTATAGCTAGGTTATCGTCCGACTGAGGCTTGTATTCAAAAGACAGCGCCGTAAATGACTCAAATCAACTCAGCTACAACTTGTACAGAATATATTCATCAAACTTTATTGTGATGGTATATATTGCTAATTGGGAAGAACAATGAGCCCTGTGAACAACGAAACTTTATCAGAAAATACAGGGTGTCCCAAAAAACCCGAAAACTTTTGAAATAACGTATTGTTAGAATTTGAATGCCTCAGCGTTACACACGTAAAAATCTCACATCTTGTAACAAGTTTGCCAACAAGCCGTCAACAAGATATATTCGCACTGCTTGGCACAAGTTGTCACCAGGTCTGGAACAACTTGTTGACAACTTGTAACAACCTTGTCGAAATTATCAGACATGTTGCAAGGTTGTTCTAACAAGTTCGTTACATGCTTGATGTAACAAGATTGTTACAACCTTGTGTTGACAACCTAGTAACATTCTTGTTATAACATGGCTGTAACAAACTTGTTGGCACAGTCTTGTATCAAGGCTGATAATGCCACCAAGCTTGTTCCAAGTTGTTATCAGCTTGTTACAAACTTGTTACAACAAACTTGGAACAAGCAGTGCGAACACAACTTGCTGACAGCTTGTGAACAGACTTGTAACAACTTGGTTGCAGACTTGTTGCGTTTTTACGCGCGGTGTATACCGAACCAACACATGCATAAAGAAACTGTTTAAGAAGCTGTTTTAAATTCCCAAGAGCAGAAAGTCGTGCGCTTTACAAAGATATTTTAATTTCTTAATAAGTCAATATTTAATATATGCACCCTGTCAATATTTTACGCATATTTGCGTTCAGCTTAGTGTTAGGGCATTCAAATTTTAACAATACGTCATTTCAATGCATGATTTTGCGTTTTTTTGGGGGACACCCTATATGGGAATTTGCATGGAATTCCTGACGGCATGATTACCTTTTTTGTTTCTCATTATGATATTTATGAAGTGCTGTAACATTGAATTTTGAATTGACCGGTACTTGATTCTGACTCCAGTTGCAAATTTTCTTCTACATCTCATGGCATGGCCGTAATTAATATGGACTACACATACACGCAAAAATCTAACATCTTGAGCAACTCTGCCAACAATTAGTCGTCAAAGGTTGTGTTCGCACTGCTTGTCCCAACTTGTCAACAAGTTTGGAACGTGCTGTTAACAACTTGTCTTGTTGATATTTGGCAGACTTGTTGCAAGGTTGTTCCAACAAGTCCGATACAGTCATGATATAACAATATTGTTACAACCTTGTGTCGTCAATCATGACTGCATCAGACTTGTTAGAACAACCTTGCAGTAACAAGTCTGATAATCTTTTGTTACAAGTAATTGTCATAGTTACCAGCTTGTTCCAAACTTTTTACAACAACTAGGAACAAGCAGTGCGAACACAACTTGTCGACAGCTGTGAACATATTTGTGACAAAGACATGAGAGACATGTAACAAGTTAACAACTTGTGAGCTTTTACGCGTGTGTATTAGACGAGAAACTTGTTTTGGAGCATCATCAGGGAGCCCACTTACAAATTGCGATTTTCAGTGAGGCCCTAAAATATGAACATTAAAATTACAATGTATAAATACAAAGCGTACCGTATTTACTCGTTTGAGCGCCGCCCCCGATTGAGCGCCGTATTTGAGATCAAATTTTTTTAAAGAGCACCGCCCCCGAATGAACGCCGCACTAAACAGTGTAAAAACTTCCCACCGTCAAAATGGGGACATTCAGCGACAAAGACATTTAAAACTTGTTTATTTTATTGTTAAAAGTTCTTCTTATAATTCACAAATAAAAGTTTTTTTAAAGAGCTCCGCTGCCGATTGAGCGCCGCCCCCGAATGAGCGCCGCATCTGAAGCTCGGGAAATTTAAAGAGCGCCGCGGCGCTCAAACGAGTAAAGGCCCTGTTACACGGTGCAATTTTTCATGCAACTTGTCTCGCAATGGCGTTGCGAGACAAGTTGCACGAGTCATTGCACCGTTTAACATGCCTTGCAATGGTCAAAATCTTTGCGAGACAAGTTGCATGAAGCATTGCACAGAGTAGAAGTCGGTTCTACTTTTGGCAACGATTGCACTAATTATTTTTAGCATTGCAGCGTGTAACATGGCTTCGTGCAACTTGTCTCGCAATGTTTATGGCTTGGAGAGTTCCTATTGGCTCTCCCCAGTACACGCGCTTTAGTGCAATTAAAATTTGGCGCCAAATATAGCGCCTCTCCCTAGTCTCTTCGCATGCCTCTGTCCCCTATCGTTGCGAGTTGCATGAAAATCATTGCAGCGTGTAACACCTCTTGCAATGCATTATCAAAATTTTTTTTAAACATTGCGAGACAAGTTGCATGAAAAATTGCACCGTGTAACCAGGGCCCGCGGAGCGTATTAGAGAGTGGGGGGGCTAAATCATCAATAAAACCCCCAATTAATTAATTTAGAAAGTTTCATTTAGATTTCTATTTTAATAATTTTGGCTGTCAAAAAAAGTGGGGGGGCTAAAGCCCCCCCAGCCCCCCCGTCTCCGCGGTCCCTGGTAACAGGGCCTTAAATACGGTATTTATAAGATAAAAAGCCAGAAAATTAATTTAAGAATTGCTAATTGCAATCTTAACACAATTAATTAAAAGATAAAGTTGTACATATCCATGGGAGACTGTTCCAATCATCAACGAAGTGGCTTTGTCCCCAGGTAAACTAGTTGTGTAGGAATGTGGTTTAAATGATCAATTATTGTTAATATTTAAACGAGTATATTATACTGTACAGTGTGTATAAAAAAAGTGAACCCTTTCAAATTCAAATTAGCTACTACGTATTGTCACAGAATAAAGATCAGTAACAGAAGGGCCACTCAGCGGTGCAACGTGTCCTCGTTTTTTTATGCAAAAATATGCAGTTTACTGGCCAGAAGGCGGAGCAGCCAGCCAGTACAGCGTGTTTATTGGCCAGAAAATGTCATTGACTGGCTAGGAAGATGGCGGCCAACATGCGTAATGCGACATGCGCGAGGACAGAAACTTCAAAGCTTCCGACGTAAGTGGCCCTTCTATATGATCTTTATTCTATGGTATTGTAGTAATTTGACAGCTCTAATTGCTTTGAATTAATGGTTGTGCATTAAGAACACAAGGTCTTGTACTCACGGAACAAAACACAAAGAAATAAAAATTAGAAAATCAGCATGCAAGCGATGAAAAATTAAAATCCCAATCCAAGAGACCGTTCATTCCCTTGTAGGTAAAAATAAGACGATGCATGCATAGGCGTCGAAAGATCGATAAGTGGGGGGGACCATATTCATATATTCGTGTTCTGCATTATTAATTTTTTTTGAAATCGATTGTTTTTACGGTCTGTGAACACGAATATATGAATATGGTCCCCCCCCTACTTATCGATCTTTTGACGTCTATGGATGCATGCGTCGTAAAACTGGGACGATGGGGTCTTGTCATGCACTATAAATGCGGCTCTGAAGGGAGAGCAATTCAAACGTCGCTTGATCTTCTCGTGACATATCAAAATGTCAATGCATGACATGTCTCATGTCGACAGAAAGACATGTCTTATGGCATGCTCTTCGCGTCTTCTCGTCGGACAGTCGCGTCGGCACCGTTTGGGCAGATAGAATTGTATAGAACCACCCCTTCAGCTTAATAAGTGAGCTGTTTTCGCAACTGAGTCAAAGAACTTTATTAAATGCAAAACTTTCTCATTGTTCACGATATTAGTGTGTGTGTTTTAACCAATTTCTACGCGGAATAACTGAAGCCTAGTCACGAAACATTTGCCCTTCTAAAAACATTCCTGATAGATTTTAAACAGAATATGCAGGGATTAAATATACCATAACGAGCTCGAGGCGCCTGACTATATTTTAGATGGATGTACAACGAAGCAGGAAGTCGTTATTAATTTAAAAGATATACTAAATAAGCTATAATGTGGAAAATAAACTTTATAATTGGTTTTAGTCATTAACAAAGAAATTTTAATTTGACCATCAGTATAGAATAAAGAATGTTTTGATAGCGTATATGAATCCTAAATTGCACCGTTTAACTTAGCTGTCCATACCAGTATACATCTTCGTTTGTGATTTAATTTCTCATGTCGAAAACACGAATATTATTTAATTAACATCCAGTTGTTAGGTCAAAAATACTTGCCTACTTGGTTAGCGTCACACTCTCACAAATTTTCAGAGGCGGGAGGGCGTTTTTTTTTTGTAATTTTTACTGTGCCGTTTTTTTTAAAAAAATTTTTAATAGCATTTTGTGGGGGATGGGGATGGTACTGATGTTGGTAAGGCCGCCATTTTGATATAAGAATAAAGAATGTCCAAGCCCACGCGCTCCTATCGATCAGTATATAGCGCGAAGGTCTGAGTATCAGAACATTTTCAAATATTAAACTGTTTTAAACTGCAAAACGAAGAGATTATTATATAGCCTATGACTATGTATCACTGCGAAGAATGACTGAATATATCCTGAAAAATAATATTGCCTGATGTATACGCTATCTAGCTGATGTATCTACAATTATACCTATATTTAACTAGCTATAAAGCGACGACCTAATGGACGATTTAAACTACACGACTTTTGCTGAGTTAAACAGCCGCAGGCAACCTGTTTACAACTTGAATTGTCAAGTGTAAATCAAGCACACAATTCGCCCACGACAACGTAATTAGCGAGTTAATGGACCTTTCCCCTTATAACTAAAATTTTTATCTAGACAAAAATTTTATCACAGCTTGAAAGAGCATCACAAAATTAGTAATATTCCAAAGTTTTGTTGCGAAATGTTGTAAAATGCGGATAATATAGCCTTGCGAAGTTTGCCGTTTTTCAGTCATTTTGTATTACGCACGGGAAAGTGACAGCCCTTGGCCGACTCGGCTAATCGGGTGTTGGGGCATCAATTTCCCGTTTGTAATACAAAATGACTGAAAATTGCAAATTTCGCAAGGCTATATTATCCGCATTTTACAACATTTCGCAACGAAACTTTGGGATATTACTAATTTTGTGATGCTCTTTCAAGCTGTGATGAAATTTGTGGCTAGCTAGATCAAAATTTAGTCTATAATGCAAATGGTCATTCGCCCACGACAACATAATTACATAAGCGAGTTAATTGCATGTTGATTTACACAAGACTCGCAAGCTCTTTCAACTCAAGTTGGAAGCAAGCCAGGTTGTATGCGACAGTTTTAGGCAAAAGTTGTCGGCCTTAACTCATTCGTTACCGAGGTACACAATAGTCAATGCACGTTAATTGGCTCGATTCCTGCCAGAGGGTGAATTCAGTTGCATTTTTCGCAAATGCACTCCTGGTCAGGTCCAGGGGCGCCAGAACAATGTGAAGCGGCGGGGGCAGCCATTTCAAAAGGGCACTTGCTTCTCAGCCATCATTTTTCTAAACGTCATTATTTGTTAAAACTTTACTGTATCGATACTCAATTACTTGCAGGGCAGCTTAGAGGTTGGCGGGGGCCCGGGGCAAATTTTTTTTTAGGGGCCCCTATCTAAATAATTTTTCCGGAAAATTTTTTTTCCGAGAACAACCTTCCCCACCGTCGACAACTTTTTAGGTAAAAATTTTTCCTGACGAGTACGTTGCAATTGCTTTCCAGGGACTTTATCTCGTTTTTTAATGCCAATTTTCGGTACTTAGCCCAAAAAACAGATATTTTGTCCTTTGTGCGGAAATATTTAACATACAAAAAAGACTGGGGCCCAACAAAAAAATTTTCAGGGGCCCCCAACACCTCGGGGCCCGGGGCAAAACGCTTGTGTAGCCTTTAGTCGGTCTCAGTGACTAATATTTTTTTAGGGGGGGGGGGAGCAAAATGGGGTGGGGTGGGGGAAATAATTTTGCGCCCCCTTGCCCCCCTTGGCGCCGCCACTGCTGGTCGTAGCCAATTATTGTGTTTCTATATTATGTTCAAGACGAGTTGGTTGGGAGGAGTATTGTCCATTGTGACTAACGACCTGTTTCACATATATCATACATGTATTGAACAGTACACGATAGAATGGAATTTATTGCGTTTTATTTTATTACTCTTAAACATGGGAGACCATTAATCATTATTACAAATACATAAACATTCATTAAAATTACAGTTAATATTAATAAGAAAAAAATGAATATGCAGCAAAACTAAAAATGTTCAGTATAGCCTTAATTAAATGAACGATAGAAAAGTAAGTGAAAAATAGAAAAACATCAATAATTGCATGTGAGCCTTCAGGACTTTAAGAACTCCTCAATGAAAACGACAGATCAAGAATCGCCATACTCTGTCCCTAAAAAAACACGAAAGAGATATAATGTCATATTATATATTATCATATACATGATTAACGAGTGCCCATGTTATGCTGTGTAAATTTTAAATCATCATTATTCATTTCTTTAGAAATTAATTGTTTTCAAGATCTATTGAATACGGAAATATTTGCATAGCATGATCAAATTGTCTGGCTGGCTTCGCCACTGAGTAATGCCCACCACCCAGTTCCAAACAGTACGTAATTTACGATTACAGGGTTCGTAGCGGTCTTTGTAATCCTTGAAAGTCTTTAAATTTGGATTCAGGTCTTTGAGGTCTTTGAAAAGCCTTTGAATTGTGTGAAAAAGCGAAGAAAATCTTTAAAAGTCTTTAAATTCTTTAGTGAGTGTTTGATTATACGATTTCCTAGCTAATAAAATAGATTGATTGAAGCAGGATTTTCGCAAATATCGACAAATAGGTACATTTTAGGATGTGATTTCACTAATTAGGATGTGAAGGGACTAATTAGGATGTGAAGGGACTAATTACCGGGTGAAACTGGTGCTTCACACTCCCAATTTTTCGACACTGACTGCTCTCAAAGGTGTTTGAAAAATCTTTGAAAATAGACAGAAAACTTTGAAAGTCTTTGAATATTTTTGGTTTTGGAGACTACGAACCCTGGATTAGTCGCCGTATATGAGAGCAAAATTACGTATGCCAAAAAAACCCACCGCCCTCGAATAAACGTCACACTTATTCATAATAATGCAGCAGCGCATAATAATAAAATAAAAAATAGATAAACAAATAAAATTTAAAAAAAAATGCACCCAAGGTGAAAGCAAAACCTCCTGAAGAATTATGAATGTTGAACTTACTGGTAGCTGTTGACGTGATGACTTTTTGCCCCAGTGATAAAATAGCCTTGTGGTACCCCGTAGTTCTTACTGCCTTTAAAGGTATTGACGTAACCAGTCCAATAACAACTATATTGACACACTCTTCTGGTGCGACAGCATCTGAATCTAAATCTTCTGTCTTGGTAAATATTGTTATGGGCCGAGTGTATACCTTATGAATTGAAAATCATAAAATGTTATCAATGAACACTGGAAAATATTTATACTTCCGGATAGTACATCATTGTGGCTATGGAACCTCGCTTTCGTGTGTGTGACATAATAATAATAATTTTATTGTTACTGTCGATGTTGCTGTTGTTGTTGTTGTTGTTGTTGTTCTTGCTGTTGTTATTGTTGCTGTTGTTGTTATTGTATATGTGAGGGGTAGCAGTGTTTTACTGTTACTATGTTTCTGTTCACAGCTATAATGTTACTTTGATCTTTATAATATGATATGACTTGTACTGAATTTTGTTGTGCAAGCAATATACTTCGCAAGAAATGAAAATTGAGAAAACGTATAAACTTTAGTGAGACAAAACATACTCTTAGAGTGCATTAAACATTTTTATTTGAAGTGCTTTGTATTAGAGCAGCATGAGCTCTATAACCTCTAACTCCTAACCTTAATATCTTCGTCTAACACAAATCTAATCTTTATTTAAAACTAATCCAAATTTTTTTTGAAAGTCACAAAGTAAATTCAAAGGTGAAGTTCATGTTGATTAGATTTATTGACTGGAAATGGGTGCTAATAAACCGCTTTCATTTATTCAGAAATACCGGTATTGACCCTGATTAATTTAATTAATGAAACAGTATGGATAAAAAAGCTGTAAAACTTTGTTATGGACAAGTCACAACTACTGTATTATACTTTACCTGCGAGAACTCCAGTTGGGCATTGGTATAGCAATTCGCGGTTGTACCAATTTAACCAACCTGACCAATAACAGATGCTTGTAATTTTATAATCGCGTCTGCAGTAGAAAAGCCATGAACGGTCTTTGTGGTGATTGCTGAAATAGCTTATCATACGAGACATACCATAACCTACAGAATAATTTATTTGAAGTGAGGGGAAAACATATGTTGTAAAATCACATAGTATTTCAATGTATGTTTAAAGTTGTTTCAACACTGGGAAACTGCATACCTCGGCAAGCGAATCAAATTATGTATAGACCCTTTTCATAAATGGCTGCCGATTAAAAATTCTTTTACGTGCATATAAATTGCCCAACTAGTCTCGTTTCTGGGTAGAAATTCCTTTGAAATCTTAACATGAGTACGAGGCTAGTTGGGCCAATTTATATGCACATAAAAGAATTTTCAATCCGATCGGCAGCCATTTATGAAAAGGGTCTATAATATGATGTATAAATGACATAATGGACTAATCATTTAATTTCAGTTCACTCTGCCGGGCAAAGAAAGACAAACTTTTGCTTTTCTCAACCGGCAAACAAACTTGAAAAGTGTGTTTAGTGATTTATTTGTAATAGGAAGAGCTTTAGATGGTACGCCAAAGAGAAAACGATGTTTAAAGTTCAGTAAGTTTTGCTTATATATTGCTTTATAAATATGGCGTTAATTTTACAGCATTAATGATAATTGTATTTAAATTGACAATGTTTAAATATTTTTGCGTTTCTCAACCGCCAGATATATTTGCGATTAGGTGTTTACGACAGAAAAAATATTAAGCATATTTTTAGGATAGCTTGTATTAAGGGACCGGTCATAAAGTAATTACTAGAGGGGGGTGGAGGATAAATGAAATTTCAAGTACATATTTCCATACCCTCCAAAAACCTATGGAAAAATTTTCGTAACCCCCTTCAATGTAAGTGAAAATTTTCATACCCCCCCTCTTTCAATCATTAACAGGTTCTAATGGTGTGAGCTTGCTAGCATTGTCATTGACAATTCAGATGTATCAGATTTGTACTCCAAAAGTTCCACGGATACTGAATGCTACTAATTATCAATTAAACCTTTAGAAAAGTGTTTTCCAGGGGCGAAACTCCCCCTTTTAATTCGGGGGGGGGTGTCTGCCAGAATTGCTCTGCCAAAACCGATGATGCCCAGCAGCAAATTTTTATTTCTGGCCACTATTTTCCCCAAAAATGTTGGCGAGCGGGGGAAGGAGGGTGGGTGGGGTGGGGGTTAAAAAAAATTTTCCGGACATTAAAATGGGTCAAAAAAAAGTTTTCCGGACATAAACCAGTTAAATTAAGAGTGAAAAAAAGTTTTTCTACAAATTCCTCTTAATACATGGGTAAAACCCTTATTTTTGGGCCAATCTCTGTAAAATTTAAGTCTATAAATTCTACTCACTTCCCTCTGAAAGCCCTGTCAGTTACTTAATAACTCTACATTCTATCATTCAAAACCTTTGATTGCCACGCCTGCCGATCCATGCAGATGATTCGTATTTTACCCATACCCCCCTCAAGTTTTGTCCCTGGTGTTTTCTTTATATATACATGCAGAGTAAGGGACTGGTCATAAAGTATAACTGCTAGGGTTGGTTGGAGGTAAATCACAAATTTTGCCAATAAGTTCGGTGACCCATCTTAGGATGTAGATAAAAATTTCAAAGCCCATCTAATCTTACAAAACATTTTTCATGACCCACCCAGGCTAAATTGAGAAAATACACTTTTATAATAAAAAAACTTGCAGGTATGAACATTGTAAGTATACACAGCACTGTTTGATATACATAATTCCACCAAGCTTGACAAACACATTGATACTGAACTGCTCTCCAGTTGCATGCATGGTTGTATTTGCTGTGATTCGACCACTTCTTGTTGTTGTATAAACAAGTACTGGCTTCAATAGCATCATTTGCATTTGATAATTTGGATAGTTTTGTTTACTTTTATCATTAATATCTTTATTTTTTGAAGTAGACATGCATGGGTTTTTGTTTGGTGGCCCAACCGTGGACGTACAAAAAAATTGGCGGCCCATCGAAACTGCCCAAAGATTTTTCATGGCCCATTCCAAATCACTCCAGCCCACCCTAGCAGTTACTTTATGACCGGTCCCTAAGTGGGCAGGCCGGGCCAGAAACATAAACAGTTAAAATGTTTATTAACATACCAGCTGGACATTGTCTTGTAAATGTCGCATCAGGTCTGGTGTAAGCTGCATTAATGCTCATTATTTGAGCAAGAAGGATCAAGCTTGCCAAAGCAGTGACTGCCGTCATTGTCGTTTACTACAAAACAAATCGTAAAATTGTAGATTAGTTATTTTTGACAATATCAATTTATTGTATAATATATAGAGAATTCCCAATTTAGAGTTCCGTATTAAAAATCCCACAAAATGACAGTTAAAAAATCTCAAAATCGTTTGGAAAATCTACAAAAATCCTTTCCGAATCCACAAGCTCTTCAAAATTATAAAATTTTTCCGAAAAGTCTTTCAAAATTTGCCGAAAATCTAAAACAATCTCTGGAATATTTTTGAAAGAACTCTAAAGGATTCATGGCAATAATCTATACACTTGCTATACAGTTTTCAAATCTCATAGATTGATTTAGGTCCAGCAAAATCAATACTGCATGTATGTCTGGTGATGGCAAGAAAGGCCGAATTAGTTAGATTATAAATCCTAAAACTGTGGCATGCAACCTGCTTATATATACAACTTGAGTTGTTAACTGTGTAAATCAAGCACACATGCAACTCGCCTATACATACTATACATTGTCGTATAATATAATTGCATAAACACATGTCTGTTTTTCTTACCTGAAACGGTAGAATCTTCACCGTGAAAAGCAGAAAAATTGAGAATATCGAACTTCACTCGCAGACTGCCGAGCAAGGAGTGAATAAAACAGCGTTGCGTCCTCCTAAATATATGCTATTCACTGCTCATAGCCACGCCTTAATTGGTACTGCAAGTGGGCAGATGAAAATGTATTTCGAACTCCTGTTTCAGCTTATAATTGAGCAATTTTCACAAACAACTGCACAGCTTCCTGCATTTTTCATGATAATTTAGTGTGCGTTTTTAATTTTCAACCAATTCTACGCGGAATAACTGAAGCCCAGTCACGAAATATACTATAGGTTATAGTCGGATTGACGTACTTAAAAAACTGCAGTAAATAACTCAAGTCAACTCCGCTAAAATAAATTCATCAAAATTATTGTGACTTTATATTGCTAATTGGGAAGAACCGATGAGCCCTCATGTGTACAATATGACTACTTTGGAACCTTATCAGAAAATATACATGTTTATTGCTTTGTTTCGTTTTCCTTTCTGATATTTATGAAGTGCATTGAATTTTGAATTGAGTTGATATTCTGCCGTTGCAAGTCATGCCTATATAATTGTATATAGCCCCATGAATAATGCAGTTGCACGATCAGTACCGGATTCGCATCGAATGCAGTTACACGATACCGCATTCGACATCAAATTTTATTGCTTCGAGGTGAATTTGGCACTTAGAATTATGATAATGTAACATAATTAAACAAAAACTCACTTCATATATTATATGAAAAGTTGTAATAGCAGACAAGACTAGAAAACACCTTAAATTGATGTCGCTCATATCACGAATACGGTATCGTGTAACTGGGGCCTATATATAAGCATGTAAACTTAGGCACGATTAAACATCTCACGTGGTGACAGTCGTGAATTAATATGGACATAATATATACACGCAAAAATCTAACATCAAAAGTCTGCAAACAAGCCGTCAACAACATTACAAGTTGTATTCGCAGCTTGTCCCAAGTTGTCAACAAGTTTGGAACATGAAGCTGTTAACAACTTGTAACAACCTTGTTGATATATATATCATGCAGACTTGTTGCAAGGTTGTTCCAACAAGTCTGCTACAGTCTTGATATAACAATATTGTTACAACTTTATTGTGTAGTGAACTTTGTAACATTCTTGTTATATTATGACTGTATCAAACTTTTCAGAACAACCTTAATTGTAACATGCTGATAATGCCATCAAGCTTGTTACAAGTTGTGAACTGACAGTTTGTTCCAAACTTGTTACAACAACTGGGAACAAGCAATGCGAACACAACTTGTCGATAACTTGTAAACAGATTTGCAACAACTTGCCTGCAGACTTGTAACAACTTGTGTGCGTTTTTACGTGTGTAGAACATGCAATATTGGTGCAGCCTATAAGTAGCCTAGCTGCCCAGATACTGTTATTAAATGACTAAAGTAATTAGCTTTTAAAAGGTGAATATGATTTTACAGAATGCATGCAGCTAAACTGTGATGCAGGCCGTCGACTTGTCCTTAACGCATAAACTAGACTCGATCAGAAAGTGAAATGACTTGACTCGTTACTCGACCATGTATATTGATTTGTCACTATATTTTGCAATAATTAATTAGATCTAGTATATTAATTAGGTCTAGTATATGAAAATACGATTTCCGTACTATTTCCAACGAATTCGAAGATCGATATCATTTACAAATAGTAAGGATTTTGAAAGAAAATTCCAATGATGCCTTTGTAATAATTTGGTAGCTAGGTTTGACCACTATGGTTTGACAGAATGATTACGTGGGACAGAGGCATTTGGAGAGACGTTGAAGCGACAGGTTTTGTCGCTTAATGTGACTTTGGAGCGACAACAATTCAAACTTCGTTCCTCTCGTGACACGTGACCGTGCCGACATAAAGACATGCCTCGTGACAGTCGATTTGGCACCAGTGTGGGCAGTAAGACCTCCCCTTTACTTCAGCTCATTTGAGCAATTTCGCGACTGAAACAAACAACTCTATTATATGCACAACTTCCTCATTTTTCATGATTTTAGTGTGTGTTTTTAAAACATATTATAGCACTAATGATAATCTTATCTTAAAATGTGTCAACTTATCGATCGCCACAAAAGTTAACGCTTGAAGATTGTCACAAATAGTGGCATAAAACTTAAAGTGGCGATAGACTGAAGCATTTAAAGATAACAAATTAATTCGCTCTGCTAAATAGGCCTATTTGTAGTATTGAGCATTCTTTTATCTATAACGAATATGATACACACATATATATATATATATATATATATATATATATATATATATATATATATATATATATATATATATATATATATATATATATATATATATACCGGGTGTCCCAAAAGAAAGTACTCCTGTTTGATTCGTAATAACTTCTAAACAAGTAAAGCTTTTAACGAGAAATAACTTGCATTAAATAGAGGAAGGACAAACTTAAGTTTTGATATATTACAGTTGTATTTTACTTAAAAAGTCACGGAGATATCAATGTTCAAAATTGGGAGCATATTTTGGGATGTGTCTAAAATTAGGGAAAATCGGCATATCAAATATTAATTCCAGCGTTTGTTTGCTTAATGACATATCCGGCTAACTTGTATTTCAGCGAATTGTCGTTAGGGTTTGTAAGGGGTATGGCGTAGATTTAGACATCTTACATGTAAGTCTTAGCTCATTGTTTCCTGAAATATGAACTTCGAAATTATGCAAGTATTGACAAGTATTTAATAGGTCTTTACAAACTTAAAGGTATACGTAAAAGACCATGCATGGAAGGCAGGCGCTTAAATTTTTCTTAAATAGCATAATTTTTTTATGTTTTTAATGGGTTCAAACAGACTGATTTGATTATTTCTCGGTTAGAGCAGGATGAATATTATTCTTTATTGAAAGAAGTAATATTGCTTTTTGCAAATACGCATCACCGCGTATCAATTAATGCTACTATTCTGTTACGTTTTGTTCCAAAAATGTTGCATGTCTCTGGAGAGTTGCTTAATTGTTATGTCTTATGAAGTTGTATGGTTTGATTGTGTTTTATATAATTTTCAGTTTACTCTGAACTTGCCAAGATTAAAAAAAGGCAAAGGAGTTTGGGTGTTCTTAAATTAACAAGATTTCAGAACGTTGCAGAAGTTAGAAGAGCTTCACAATTCCATTGTGACAGCATGCCCTAATTGAGAACTGCGAACGATCGATGAGGATCCTTCACGATGCAGTGGTCTCATAAAATAAGGAAACGTATTCGTGCCAGGAACACACG